TTAGATAGGTTCTAATTACTCTGTTTTTACTCATTTCAAAAACAGAACTTTTTATCAATGCTTCATAGCCTTTGTTTTTCTGTGAGATAGGTTCTAATTACTCTGTTTTTAGTCATTTCAAAAACAGAGCTAAATATCAATGTTCCAAAATATCTGTTGTTTTTTTTTGTGAGATAGGTTCTAATTATTCTGTTTTCAGTCATTTCAAAAACAGAGCTATTTATAAATGTTTCTTATTTTTTTTTGTGAGATAGGTTCTAAATAATCTGTTTTAGTCACTTCACAAACAGATTTATTTATCAACGTTTCTTATCTTTTTTTTGTTAGTTAAGTTCTATTCAATCTGTACTGACTCATTTCAAAAATAGAGCTATTTATTAATGTTTCATATTTTCTGTTGTTTTTTGTGAAATAGGTTCTATTTAGTCTGTTTTTTCTCATTGCAAAAACAGAGCTACCTATCAATTTTCATATTTTTTCTTATTTTTGTGATAAAGGTTCTAAATAATCTGTTTTAATCATTTCAAAAGCAGAGCTATTTGTCAATTTTTCATTATTTCCGTTGTTTTTTGTTAGATAGGTTCTAATTTTTTTTACTCATTTCAAAAACAGAGTTATTTATTGTAGTTTCATAATTTTTTTTTGTGAGATAGGTTCCAAATAATCTGTTTTTAGTCACTTCAAAAACAGAACTTTTTCTCAATGCTTCAAAATCTCTGTTTTTTTGTGAGATAGGTTCTAATTACTCTGTTTTCAGTCATTTCAAAAACAGAGCTATTTGTCATAGTTTCATAATTTTTTTTTTGTGAGATAGGTTCCAAATAATCTGTTTTTAGTCACTTCACGAACAGGTCTATTTATCAATGTTCATAAATTTTTTTTGTTAGATAGGATCTATTTACTCTGTTTTTGCTCATTTCAAAAACAGAGCTATATGTAATTGTTTCATTAAGTTTGTTTTTTTTGCGTGGTAATTTCTAATTAGTTTGTTCTTACTCATTTCAAAAATAGAGCTATTCATCAATCTTTCATAGCTTCTGTTGTTATTGTTGTGAGATAGATTCCAATTACTCTGTTATTACTCATTTCAAAAACAGAGCTATTTATCCTTGCTTCAAAATTTCTGTTGTTTTTTGTGAGATAGGTTTCAATTACTCATTTCAGAAACAGAGCTATTTACAATTGTTTCAAAAAATTTGTTGCTTTTTTATGAGTTAGTTTCTATTTACTCTGTTCTTAATCATTTCAAAAATAGAACTATTTATCAATGTTCCAAAATTTCATTTGTTTTTTCGTGAAATAGTTTTTATTTAATCTGTTTTTGCTCATTTCAAAAACAGAGCTACTTATCAATTTTCATAATTTCTGTTATTTTTGTGAGATAGGTTCTAATTAATCTGTTTTTGCTCAGTTCAAAAACAGAGCTAATTTTAGTCGTTTCATAAAGTTTATTGTTTTTTTTGTGAGATAGTTTCTAATTACTCTGTTTTTACTCATTTCAAAAACAGAGAATTTTATAATTGTTTCATAATAATTGTTGTTTTTTTTTAGATAGTTTCTAAGTACTCTGTTCTCACTCATTTCAAGAATAGAGCTTTTTATCAATAATTCATAAATTGTGTTGTTTTTTTGTGTGAAATAGGTTCTATTTACTCTGTTATGGCTCATTTCAAAATCAGAGCAATTTACCAATTTTCATAATTTCTGTTATTTTTGTGAGACAGGTTCTAACAATTCTGTTTTTAGTCATTTCAAAAACAAAGCTGATTAACGCTGTTTTATGATTTCAGTTGATTTATTGTGGTATAGGTTCTAATTATTCTGTTTTTACTCATTTCAAAAATCGAACTTTTTATCATGCTTCGTAATCTCTGTTGTTTTTTTGTGAGATAAGTTTTAATTACTCTGTTTTTAGTCATTTCAAAAACAGAGCTAATTATCAATGTTTTTAATTTTCTGTTGTTTTTTGTGAGATATTTTCTAATTAATCTGTTTTTAGTCATTTCAACAACAGAGATGATTATCGTTGTTTCATAATTTCTGTTTTTTTTTGTGAGATAGGTTCTAATTATTTGACTTATGAAAATCTAACCAAATTTAAAATTTTTACCGTCTCAAACAATTTTTCTACCCCCACATAATTCATCGCCTACTAATTTTGCTGTACATTCTTTTGATTGAAATTTCGAAAAAAAAAATTTTCTTACTTTGTGAAATGAAATTTATTATTAATGCTAATCAGTTCTTTATCTTTGTTTACTCATGCATACTTTTTTTGATTTAAAAAAATGTAAATGCTTTGTAACCGCTCAAACTCAAACCAGATTCACCGCGATTTTGTATCAAATACTCTTCCATAACTTTCACCGAATTTTGCTCTTAGTTAACCGTGCCGTTTTTTAAGTTCACTGTTCCCAGGTTTGAGTCCAAGTTTCTGTTTCAATGGTTAAACCAGCGGTGGCTTGACTCTTTATGAGGTTTTGCGCAAAACAATGAATGAAGAAAGGATAATTTAGTGTTTTTTGCCGCTTTGATATAATTGTTGACGCATAGTTTTATAAAAAACCAAAATGATTGTCAAAATTTCGCGTCTTTTTTATTGACTAACTTACTTGTAATGTGCCCATGAATTTCAATTTTTTTTCGGTTATTTTTTCCTCGGACATTTTTCTATGTCCCTGGGAAATATTGATTCAGAAAATTAAACTAATGAGAATGAATATGTAACCGCGCAAACTCAAATTAATATTGGTTTGACCATCAATTTGTTTGGGAAACCTAGAAAAATGATGAAAAAAACCAGATTCACCTTGATTTTGTATCAAATAGTTTTCCATAATTTTCACCGAATTTTGCTCTTAGTTAACCGTACCGTTTTCTAGGTTCACTGTTCCCAGGTTTGAGTCCGAGTTTCTGTTTCAATGGTTAAACCAGCGGTGGCTTGACTCTTTACAAGGGTTTGCGCAAAACAATGAATGAAGAAAAGATAACTTAGTGTTTTTGCCGCTTTGCTATAATTGTTGACATGAAGTTCAATTATCATTTTTTTTTCGGTTTTTTCCTCAGACATTTTTCTATGTCAACTTATGAGAGAGTTTTTTTTTAATGTTTTTTTATTTTCATTTCATATTTTGAAAGAATTTATTTATAATCATCGAGGAAAAAAGACTAAGATGTTTACACTTCTCCTTACTGTTCCGACTTTCGTAAGGAAAGTAACGGAATATTTAAGCTCGGTATGGGTTTTTTTCTTCAGACAAATTTCGACATTTTTCATCGCCATTTTTGACGGAATTTGTTATATCGTTCAAAACAAATTGTTGGCCTGAGCTTAAAATTAAACAATATTTTACCTGTGACTTTTTTACCGTAAAGTTATGGGGGTTTAAAGGTTGCCATTTTGGCCAATCACTGACAATTAACGCGCGATGAATTTCGCGCTATTAACGCGTAAGCGAGGATTTAATCCGCCTTAAAAATCGTTCCAAACTGATTGAACGAAGCTTATTTGCCATGATGGATTTGTTAATAGAAGCAAACTTTATCACTTTGAATTTTGTATGGCGTGTGGGGGGATGATTTTCATTTAAAAAATCAAATTGAAAAAAATCATTGTTTAAAAATTTTTTCATGTTATTAAGGCTCCATAGAACCTAAAAGGCAGTCGGAATGTTCAGGGCTTTGCCCTGATACGAGCAGTCTTCTTAATGATTGAAAAATAGTTGAATTAACAGCTATGAAAACTCATAAAAAATATGGTCGCAACAGTTTCAATTTTTTGCGCGGGGACCGTATATTTCTTCTAATTGTATTTGCGTCAGCTCCTTTGAACTAACTTAAAGCTAAAAACCGCCACAAGTTAAAAAGAAAAGGAGACTACGTGCTGGTTGCTAAGCTTTTTTTTCTTGCTATCTTAATTAAAAAGTAACTTTTTCATATATTGGTTTTTTAATTAATAAAAGCAAAAGTTTTGCCGCTAGAAGTTTTTTTGAGAAAACTACATTTTAACTACCTCTTGTTTAATGTAATATTGATGGTTCCTTCATGCTAGCAACTAAACAATAGTAGTTCATTAAGCTTTATTGGAAGGCATAGCAATTAATTGTTTAGACTTTTGAATCAACTGGGTTTTTTTTGGAACCACTTCAAGTATTTCAAATAGCTAGCCCTTTCTGGCAAAAGTTTTTGGAACCTGAAACATCTAGCAGCCTCAAGCTGAAAATTCAAAAACAAAACTCGACCTGTGATCAATTTTTTTATAGTCTTGTCGGTTTGAAAACTGTTAATTCGACAAATTTGGGATAATCAACGCGGAATTGTTGAATTGCTATAAAACATAGGCGGCTATTAAAATCAATTTAAATTGAATTGAGAGAAGAAGTCATGAAGAAAGTGGGAATAGTGATGCTTCGGGTGGTTTTTTACCTCTCAAATTTGGGCAACTAAAATATTAATATTTTAACAAAAAGTTTTCAAACCCCGTTGAAAATATCGACTCCTTGATTGCAAAAACTAAAATCTATTTTGCCACTAAATAATTTTGTGTAAGAATTGATCGCTGGAAAATTGCCAATTTATCAATTTCTGGACTAATTTTATTCGAGTTTTGGAGATTTTATTCATGATGCTGAAAGCGTAAAACAAACTATTTTTGCATGGCAAATTATCTTCCGCTACATATTCGTTCAAAATTGAACTAGGTCAACCTTATCGGTGAAGCTAATCATAGAACATTCGGTGTTTGATAATGTCCAATTTATGATTTTATCATATTTTCTTACCAATAACTATTCGATTCCGTTTAAGCTGCAACCTGATTACTGAGTTCTTTGCCCTGATATGCGAGCAGTCTTTTTAGTATGTTACTAGATGCTAAAAACATTACTTTGTACGTCACATAGCTTCAGGGTGGGGCAAACTTCAGAGTTTTAAAGTTTTTTCAATAAAATTTAACCCATGTTTTGGAAATCGCAAAGTATTTCATAGACATTAAGGGGAGTCAAAAAATTCAGTTAAGAACTTCAGGGTACGAGCAGTCTTGTCTAAAATTTAGACGTTTTTGCTTCCACAATTTATCTGTTTTGAGTTTGAGATACCATCCCTCGTTGTCGGTGTGTGTATCTTATAGGACCCATGTAGTCTCATGATTTGTATTTACGGGACCCATCAATCTTACTTCTATCATGTGCATTTGTTCTTGAGTATGGAATCGAAGGGGGAAGAAGTTGGCTACATGAAGAGTCGGTCACTCCGAGTGCCTCCGTCGGAAAAGCCGAGCAAGGAATTCAGCCCCGGTGATATCCTGGCTCTGACTGAAGCTTCATCAGAAACAGGTATTTTCAATTTAGGGCCGCTGAGTATACACACATCATATCAGCCGAAATACCTATAACAGTGATTTATAAACAAGCCGAAGTATAAGCAAGCTACTACAAAACCAGCCAGAAATGTTGAGCAATTACATAATAATTATTTGAAGACTGATAATCAGCTTAAAAGTCATACAAAAACAACCTAAATTACTTTTTAGTCTTTTCGCATTTTCTGTTAATTGTTGTTTGAATTTTATTTCCGAAGTATAATTCAAACAGAAATGAACTGGATATATAAAATAGATAAAAATTAGCTTCGAGTGTTTTATATGATTTTTTAAAACTGAGTATTAATCTTTAAAGATTTTTTTCTTATGCAACTGCTCTTTAAATGTCTGGCTGGCTTAAAGATACATTGCTCATAAATTCGGCTACTCACAGTTCAAAGTATTTAAACACTGGAAGGTTCCCAGGTTGACTGAAATGCTAGCCATACAATTCTCATATATGGCCCATACTTTTCATACATTTAGAAAAATTGCATGAAGACAATAAGATTAGCATTCTTGCATGTATGAAAATTAAATGACTAGCATTTTTTCATAATCAAAAATTATTATCAGACATGGTATTTGTATGACTAGTTTTTTTTTCATAAATGGGAATTATATAGACTGACACTCCTATAGAAGTGCTCCTTTTGTTTCGTCCGAACCTGGTTACACTTCGAATTTTCAAAGACACACAGTGCTGATTTAAATTAACCGGGCCCAACTGACAACATTCGAAACTTAAATGCGTTTTTTCTCAAGTTGGATTAAGACCAGACAAACAGTGAAGCTAACAAAAGTTATTACTCGTAACATTTTTTGTCTGAAAGTCTCGACCAAATTCTTACCCCAAAATGGGTCAATTTGGTTTTTTTAATATAATCAAGAATTACGCTGAAATTACCAAGTTAATTGATGAGAAAGTTATATCAAAAGAAGCTTCTTACCGAGCAAAACTTGGTCGATACATGAACGATTTTTGTCAAATTTGGTTGAAACATAATCAATAATGGTCAAAATACTCGAACTAAAACTCACATGGTCATATTTTGTGAAAACCAAAGCATTTTTGACTGCATCAGTCGAATTTTGGGCATTTTTTGTCAGAGCAGACGCATTTTTGGTCGCATTGGTTGCAACATAGATTCATGGTTGCAACATAGATTCATGGTCGCACCGGACAAAACATAGGCTTTTTGGAAGCACTGGATCGCAATGACTTCGAAACCTCGGCTCCATTTTTTGAGCTAATTTTGTTGCTCTGTCGCTCGCTCATCATACCATAGAATTAAACTCACGGTGTTTTCTCTTTTGAAAACCTTATTTCATATGAGCTTTGCACAAACAACTATAGTTCGTCTATTTTTCGTGCCGAAGATACGCTTAAATTGTTCCTTACTTAGTTTGTTTTTACTGAAAATTTTCTGAAAATATTTTGAAATCTAAGTTTGATTTTGCTATGAAAATGCTCTGAATCTAAATTTTAAGACACTGCTACAAAATTGAATTATGAAGCAATACTTTGAATTTAGTCTGAAATTAATGTAATGAGAGTTAAAATTATCTGAATTGTTAATTTCTACGGTTTCTTTGGTTTTCTGCAGTTGCTGGATCATCTACCTCGGAAGGTGTGAATGGTGATGGCCTGACAGGCTCTATAGAGGCGATCAATTCTGGAAGGGAAGTGGAAACTGCTCTCGTGAAAAGACGATTCGTGGGAGTCAGCACATCCGACGAGCAACAAAAAGAAGTTATTAAATCCAAATCATCTAATCATTATATTACACCTAGAAAATATATCCAACAATCAACGAAGAATAGCTGTGCTCGTCAGACCACTGCTATTTCAGAAAAAAATTCAATAGAAAGAAAAAAATTGACTCGATTTATCAATTTAGTATTTTGTTTCCTTTTTTTCCGGTACAAAAATGCCAAAAAAAAAACAGATTTAACGAAAGTTGAAACATCGTAAAGAACTTATTGAGTTTGTCAAAATTGGCAAAAAATTTCTAAGCCATTATGAATTTTTTGACAGGGTTTGAAAAAGTTTCCAAATTTTTGAAACTTTTTGGTCACACAAAATAACTTCTCGAGCTCCCCAAAAACTCTACAAAGACACTATTTTGCCCACATGTTTGTCCTATTTTGTTGAAACTTTTGTTAAAAAAACTACGTTTTTTTGATGCGCGCAGCTCCTTGTACTTTAGCTCAAAAAACTTTCAAATTAATCAATCGGATTGACTGTCGATAATAATACCAAAGGGCAGTATATTGGCAAAGCTTAGAGCTGAGATTACTTTTTTATATTGTTCCTCATACTAAGGCCAAAACTATGGCCAAAAGTACCTTCCCCATACTATGGCCAACAATTATCAAAGTTTTAGAAAATTGTTTGAACGTTTTCTGGCTATACCATCTGTCTCATACTCGTACTGACAAATTGACAAGAAAAGGATTGCAATAATATTTTTTACAGATTATGCAGCAAAAATGTTTTGAAAAGTTGATTCGCATTGATTCGAAAGCGATTTTTTTTGATACAAAAATGTACTTTAAAAAACAATTTCAATCAAAATCAATTCTAAATCGATTTAAATCCAATTTTTGTCAACTGTTTTTGGTTTCATTTTTCTACAAAATTTGAGAAACAATAAAATAGATTTAAATCTATTCAAACTGATTTTCGTCCATTTTTTTGTAGATTCATTTCTTACAGTTTTCATACAAACTACATTTGAAGTGTTCAGTTAATCAAAGAATAGAAAAATAGGAATTAAAATTAAGAGGTTCGAATTTCAATTGACTTTTGTGTTGATGTTTGGCCTGAAAAGAAGTTCTGAATATAACTTATCTGTAAGCTTTTGCATCAACAATGAACTGTTCTGAATTGAAATTTTCATTTAAAAATCAATTGCCTAACATAATCGCACCTAGAACGTTGATAAAGGAATGATATTTGTAGAAATTTTGTTTAACTTTTAAACCGCGGGAGCCTTTAGATTTGCAAAAGTCAAAATGACTTTTATCATCACAATAATATGCGGTTAAAAACTGTCCTCGAGTGACTCTTGCTCTTTTTAGTTCCGATGGAAATTTTTGTTGCGTACACGAATTGTTCAAATTTCGAAACAAAATGAATAGTTACATAAAATCAATTTTGTTGCAATTTTGACGGGATTCACTTCATGCCAGAATACATATGAATCGATTTAAATTAATTCTGTAGACAATGAAGTTAAGTTTTTCTATCGTGAAAAGCCATTCAGTTCATTTTAAATTGATTTACATACTAAATGAACTATAGTAAATTTATTTTCATGCAAAAATTTAACGTAGAAAAATCGAATGAATTCGATTTGAATAACAAGTTTGTCAGTGTAGGTATGTTTGTTCCATACTTAGCATTTTTCTATAATGATTCTATAGTGAAACTGTATGGCCATAAGTGGCAAATGTTTGACTGTCAGTTAACAACTACTAAATATTATGTGTTTTGCGTTCTAACTTTGCGCTTGTCAGGAAACAAAATTGCAAGGATGTTCTCAGTAGGAAAAACCAATGAGTAAATGTCTGATTTTTCTGTTGGTTCTCTTCTCTGTTCAGAGATTGCACGTCTTGTGGGTAAGTTTAAACGCTAATTGAGCCTCATTTGAGTTTCCAAAAAATGCTTATCTTACAGTTTCCATATATCAAAAAATGCTTATCGTACAATTTCCATATATGAAAAAATGCTTGTCTTACAATTTCCATTTATGATAAAATGCTTACATTACAATTTCCATTTATGAAAAAATGTTTATCCTACAATTTCCATATATGAAAAATGTTGATCCTACAATTTCCATTTATGAAAAAAATGTTTTTTCTACAGTTTCTTTATATGAAAAAACGCTTATCCTAGAGTTTTTTTTTTACAATTTTCTGAGTCTATGAAACTGTAAGAAATTGTAAGACAAGCATTTTTTTATATATGGAAATTGTAGGATAAGAATTTTTGGTCAACCCACGCTAAGATTCAAATGAAATACTATCTACAATTTAAAAAAGTGCTCAACCGTTCTCAAATCAAGCAATATTTTTTTCGATGTCTTGACCAAAAACAATGTGAGCGACTTTTTTCAAAGGCTCGAGCAAAATAACCAGTGGAAAATATGTAAGATTTGAGCAGTTTGAGCGGTTTTTTAAGACAATTACGCTCAAAATCTTGCTTCAAAATGAGCGGTTTGAGCGGTTTTTGAACGGTTTATCTAAAAAACCGCTCAAAAACCGCGCAAGATTTGAGCGGTTTGAGCGGTTTTTTAGGCAATTACGCTCAAAATCTTGCTTCAAAATGAGCGGTTTGAGCCGTTTTTGAACGCTTTATCTAAAAAAACCGCTGAAAAACCGGGCAAGATTTAGGCGGTTTTTGAGCGGTTTTTTTAGATAAACCGCTCAAAATCGTTCAAATCTTGCTCGTTTTTTGAGCGGTTTTTTTAGATAAAACCGTTCAAAAACCGCTCAAGCCGCTCATTTTGAAGCAAGATTTTGAGCGTAATTGTCTAAAAAAAACAGCTCAAACCACTCAAATCTTGCTTAAATTAAGTGAAAAAACTGGACTCGGACAAGAACATCACAGACAATCTTTGATTTGAGATAGTTTATCTCAATTCAAATGTTTAAATTCACACCAAATTATAACAAAAAAAACGTTGTTTTTCGTTTGTGTATTTGTATTGGAAAAATCAGTCATTAAAAGCCACGGAATATATTTTTATACAAATGTAAGCTCAATGTTCCATATAAAAAATTCTGGCTCAAAAATCACAACAAAAGCGCTAGAAAAATCAAATATTTTTTTCTAATAAGTTTTGGACATTTAAAAAAGGACTGCTTATACAGTTTCCGTATTTAACCATACAATTTTTATTATAGAAGAATGCTAGTCATAAAGTGCCCATAAATGAGAATTGTCTAACTAGCTTTTTTTGCATCGATTTTTTGTGGAATTGTTTTACTATTTTTTTTTAAACAACTTCCGTCAAAGTTGGCCAGTTAAAAATTCTAATAACTTCTGAAGAAAAAAATTCCGATCACAGATACACTGTGCTTTCTTTTTAAGTCAAAACAGTTATCTCTATTTCTAATGTAATTTACGTTTAATATAACTTCGGCCTTATGCACCTTCGGATTTTTGCATGGTACATGTTTTGGAGGGGTGTGATCGTGGGGGGAGTAGGAGGTCAAACAGAGCAACAATAATGCTTACATCCAAGGGCTGATCTAGGATTTTCTCAAGGGGCCGGGGCGAATTTTCAAAAAAATTCAAAAATTTTGTCGACTTTTTTAAGGTCAATCAAATTGATTTTCCGAGCTCTCCCAAAACACTAAAAAGACCGTTTTCGCCAAATTTTCTGCGCCGCAGCCATTTAAAAACAGGCCAGAAAAAGCGTATTTAGGCACTTTTTGGAAAACTTTGATTAAAAAAATCGCGTTTTTTCGGCGCGCACTCTCCCTTTAGGTGCCCTTAGAAAATTTTTAGGGTCCGTCACCAAATATGAATATCCCAAAATAGTACAAAGGGGGACCATTTCGGTCGGAAGGGGCTCGAAACCCTGAGATGGGGGGGGGGGGGTAGTCCGTCGCAACTCTGAGTGGGTTTAAGCCCCGAGGGGTGGGGAGGCTTATCTTCATTTTTCCTTCCCATCAATTTTTCAATTGATTGCATCATTAGATTGCGTAAGTTTTACGTGAGTTTATAATAATAAGTTCATAATTTTGAGTGACATTTGGGACGTGTTTGTGGTAGGAGAAAAAGGAATCGGAGGAGGAATTGGAACAGGAGAGACTGGATAAAGCAGATGTGAGGGCAAAATCTACACCCGAACCATAATGTACACTATGATGGCAGCGATACTCCTCCTACAAATTTACATTTTCATCAACTACCTTCAAATCAGACAGGAAATTGTAGGGCAAGTAAAAACTATTTAAAAAGTTGAAACTTTTGAAAATGCATTAGCTTAGTGACTGCCTGGGTTGAGGTTTTCGAGTTGTGTCTCGACCAACTCGACCCAAACTGGCTAAATTTTGTCCGACTGGAGGAAACTGTCAATGTTTCGACAAACTCGACCAGAGCAAAAATGGGTTCGACAGTTTTCAACAAAAACTGACTTGGCTGTTCTACAAACTCGGCCGAAAAATTTGTGTTCGACCGTGTTCGAGCTCAAACTTTTTCAAACAATATATATAAAATGAGCAGCAAACAAGATTCATCATTTTTTAATAAATTTCTACTTTTTTGGAATATTCTAATCGAAACTTTTTATTTCATATTTGAATCAATCTAAAGTGATTTCGCAATTTCAGACTGGAGAAAACCATGTCTAAGGTCAGACTTCAAAGCCAAATGCGAAGAAATAAACTGGGTAAGTATAGATTTTTTTTTGGCTGAAGAAAAACCCTGTCAAACATTTAAGGTCACCTTCCGCCAGGCTTTTAATTTGTTAATCAAAAGCTCCTTCCTTTGAATTTTTTCAAACTTCCTTGTTTCCTAGGGAACTATCCAAACGAAGTTTTCGGAACCAAAAAGAAACAAGACTCCCGGGTTGACCTCCATACACCGAAAATACTTACAATGCGATTCCATACAACAAAAATGTTATCAAACAATTCCATACATCGATTTTATGGAAAAATTGCTTCTCATACAATTTTTCTATCAGGAAATTCTTTAATAAGCATTTTTTCATAACGTTTTTTGATCATAAAAATTGTAAATCCTCTAAGAATGAACCTAAATTTGTAAAAGTTGGAGCGCAAAGCAGTCAGTATTAACAAATTTCGAAAAATTTGATAGCACCGAGCTTGATTATTTTTTTTTTGGAAAAAATGCGTATCAAACAATTCCCACATATCGAAATTGTATGATAGGTATTTTTTCACGGCGGCAACAAAAAAACTTTTCTGGTTATTTTCAAAAATTACTTTGTTTTTTGCCCCAAAAGTATTATTTTTTTTGCAACCGCAAAACGAATTTTGTATTCATACACGTATTTTCCAAATACCCAAAAATTGCTTTTTTTCTACTTTTGCTGAACAACTTTTTCGAAAACTCTCAAACACCTTTTTTTTTTGTATGGCATGTTTATGCCTTGATCCATGCCTATCAAAATTTTAAAAGTTTCATTTTTGAAAAGGTTTGCCGAAATTTAAAAATTTTTCCTATATCATTTGTGTATGGTATCCAATTGAAAAGAACATATGACTTGCCTCAATTTGACCAGGAAAAATTTAATTCACCGCTTACGCGTATTTTATTACGTGTTTATTGTGCATAAAATATCCCAACCTGACTAATTTAAAATTTTTTGAACCCACTTAGTTTTACCAAAAAAACTTACTTGTAAAATTTCATTCGTTTTAGCCCTATAAGCAAGCAGAGTTATTAGAAAAGTTTAAATCTGGATACAATTCGAAAGAGTTTACATTTACCTTGGTGCTACTGTTCAATAAAAATCTACTATTATAGACAACCCTCTGTGGTATTTCGCAAAGTTTGAAAACTAATTTGAGTATAAAATATTCATTTCAAACATTTTGTAGAATATGTTTAATTAAAAAATTTTCGACTTTTACAAAAAAAAATGACGAGGAGGAGGTTCAACGGGCTTAAGGAATTAAATGGTCAAAGAAGGAGGTAGAACTGGTTTAACGAGTTAACCAGGTAACGAGTTAGGGAATCTGTCTAAAAAGCAAAGTTAAAACTTTTAAATGCTTTGAGAGCTCTAAGTGTGTTGTTCTCAAATGACCTGGTTTGTGCTTGGGACCATTCTATCATAGTAGTTCCTAACCCCTTTTGACAAAACGACGGAACTAACTAAAGCGAACCTTCATTTCGAGGATAAAAAAATTTAGGCTTTTTTCAGAATTAGGATCGGAGCTGGATGCATTCGAAGGTAAGAATTTTTCATAACAAAAAACTAATCTGATAAACATTCTCACCTTCTGAAAATTATCAAAGTCCTAAATTTCTCAAATTGCTTTCAAAACTTTTTTGTAATCAAAGTGAAGCTTAATTTTTGTCTCGTTAGCGGCTTCAAATTTATTTAAATAAACTAAATGACTAACGACTAACTAAATGACTAAATGACTAACTAAATGACAAGCAATTTTTTTGAAAGTACTTTCGAGTGCTTCAGTGTTTTTGGAACATTTTTTAATTAAACTTTCGCCATAAACCCCGCGTAATCATGGCACAGCATGTAAGCATGTGAAAGTTAATGCAAGTTATTACCGAAAAAAAAAACAATTTTTCTGATACAAAAACAAGTTTCAAAGTATGTTATTTTTAGATTGCACTGAACAACTCTAACTATTTTACTGACAAAATTGAAAATGCCCAAAAAACCACCATTTAATAAAACGATTAAAAACTAAATTGACGCAATTGCCGAGCAAATTCAAATAAAACCTGCATACTGTCGTATGCAGGTTTGATTGATATAAAAATTTTGTTGTTTAGATCACCACTTTTTAATTTAACAGCAGGTCTGCGAATGATGCAATTATAAAGTTGGTCGAAGTATTTCCCGGGTCGAGATTGTGGTTTCATATTCGAACCATGTGGACCAGAATATGGTATGTTCAGACCGTGTGGACCAGGAAATACTATGTTCAGACCGTGTGGACTGAGTGAATCCGCTTTCAGACTGTGTGGAACCAAATAGTCCGGATTCAGACCGTGTGGACCGAAAGAATCCGATTTCACACCGTGTGGACTAAAGGAATCCGGTTTCAGACCGTGTGGACTAAAGGAATCCAGTTTCAGACAATGTGGACCAACAAAATCCAGTTTCAGACCGTGTAGACCGAAGGAATCCGGTTTCAGATCATTTGGACCGAAGGAATCTGGTTTCAGACCGTGTGGACCAACAAAATCCGGTTTCAGACCATGTGGACCAAATGAATCCGGTTTCAGACCACGTGGACAGCAAAATCCGGGTTCAGACCATGTGGAACGAAGAATCCGAATTCTCTATGAACTACATAAAAAAAAAACCTTTTAGTGGTGAAAGAGTATAACCCGGGCTGAGGTTCGGACTTTGCAGACTTATGTTCAGACTTTGCAGACTTATGTTCAGACTTTGCAGACTTATGTTCAGACTTTGCAGACTTATGTTCAGACTTTGCAGACTTATGTTCAGACTTTGCAGACTTATGCTCAGACTTAGCAGACTTATGTTCAGACTTTGCAGACTTATGTTCAGACTTTGCAGACTTATGCTTAGACTTTGCAGACTTTGGCGCAGATCGATTCCACGCAGATCGATTCCACGCACATCGATTCAGACTTATTAAGTCTGAAGATAAAAGCACGACCTCGACCCGAGGCATGACTAATCACACAAGAAAGCTTCCGTTGCATGCTTTTGCTTTTGTGTTTCAGAACTGCTCAATGTTTTTCAATGAAAATGCGTTTTATTTGAATTAAAGCGACAAGAAATTTTTGATGGGGCGTCACACATGACGTGAAATTGCTTTTTTGATTACCTCTCACTTTTGTTCGTGTTTTACAAAATCCTGGAACATCATTTTCGTTTCTTTTCCAATTGTTGAGATATTTTCGACATGTATCAAGTGTTGAAAAAACTTATTTTTTGCTAGCCTCTGTTTCCCCGGGTTGACCTCCATACACCGAAAATGCTTATCATACAATTCCATACATCAAGTGAGTGGGAAAATGCTTGTCATACAATTTTCATACAATTTCTAAAAATGGTTGAAAACTGGTATAAACTCATTTCTGTGGCTGTTTGATTCTCATAAAACAATCTGGTGATAAAAAAATGAGGTTTTCGTTTTTTGAAAAAAATGCTTATCATACAATTTCCATATATGGAAATTGTATGACTGGCATTTTTTTGATGGCGGCACAAAAAATTTTTCAAGTAATTTTGAAAATTTGACCCAAAAATTTTTTTGTTTCACTTAATTTTTTTTTCAAAAACGCTGAAAATTCCTCTTTTTTTTGTATGGGGTGTTAATGTACGCCTTGATCAATGTCTGATAATTTGAAAATTCAAAAATTTAATATAATCATCATTAAGAAATTTTGCCAAAAAATATAAGTTTGTTACTTTTGTTATATCAATTGTGAAAGACAGCCAAATTCAGGAAGTTTTCTATGCATTGTAAATGCAAGACCGTCCAACCTTTGGTGTTTTGAGTAACCAAGGTCTTTGTCACTTGTGTTCGGTTGCAGCTACAACCGAAAATTTTTCAGAAACTAAATTTAGAAAAGAAAAAATCAAAATTTTTGGTTTATGGGAAAACACCTATCATACAATTTTCATATATGGAAAAACGCTTATCATAGAGTTTTCATACAATTTTCTGTACGTATGGAATTGTATGAAATTGTATGACAAGAAGTTTCTCATATATGGAAATTGTATGATAAGAAGTTTTGGTCAACCCGGGTCTGTTGTTTCTGCTTTTCTTCTTACTTATGGAGTTGAATATATCTTACTTATTTTTTGTCTATGTTAGTAGTTAGAACAAGCTACTTATGATTTATTCAGATATTCGCGTGTACTGTGACGAAAAAGGGGGAGCGATTGGCTGGGATTACCGTAGATGCTACGTCTCTTTCAAGCCAATTGGTCTGACCATCCCTCAGATGGTTGAAAAGTGCAGATTGAGAAGCCTGATCCTTTTCTACCCAAAATCAATGGCAGAGATCCAATTTATCGGGAGTGATATGGGCAAGAAAGTGGTATTTTTTGGAAAAGAAATCCCTACACAGTTCAAAGAAAGCGGACAAGGTGAGTTGTACCAATCATCAAAAAGCCCTCCAAATTTTTTTGCGAGTTTTTCCGCATTGGTTGAATTAAAATTGCCAACAATTATAATTGATTTTTAGACAGATTTTCTTCTAAGAGATTGCATGTACCTGCTTTTGTGCACAAAATATGCAATAAAACCATAAGAATCATCAATATAAACAAGTTTTTGTGCACAAAAAATGCGATAAAACCAGGAGATTTGACAATATAAACAAAATTGCCTACACAAAAATTTGCAACAAAATCCTGAAAATTGTCAATATAATTAAGTAAATGCACAATTAATGAAAAAAACGAAAAAACTGTCAACATAAACCAGGTTTTTTTGCACAAAAAATCCAAAAAAACTATGAATATCATCAATACAATCAAGATTGAGAAAACAAAAAGGTGCGAAAAAATACAAAAAATCATTAAAATAAACAAGCGTTTTCTGCAAAAAAAAATAGATTAAAACAATCAAAATTATCAATATAAACAAGACTTCGTGCATAAAAATTTGAAAAAAAAAAATTATTAATATATACAAAATTATTTGCTCAAAAGTATGTCATAAAATCCTGAAAATCGCCGATATAAACAAGGTTTTAAGCACAAAAATATGCAAACAAAATCATAAGAATTATCAATTTAAACAAGATTTTTCTGCGAAAAAAAAAGTGCACTGAAATCACGAATTATGCAGAAAAATTATCAGAATCATGAATATAAATAAAATTTTGTGCACAAAATATCAATAAAACTATGAAAATAGTCTAAGTAAACAAAAGATTGTGCAAAAAAATTGCAACAAAATCATGAAAATCAACAGTATAATCAATATTTAGTAAACAAAAAGGTGCGAAAAAAACATCGAAAATCATCAAAATAAACAATTTTTTTATGTATAAAAATGCAAAAAAACTATGAAAATCTTCAACATACACAAGATTTTGTGCACAAAAATATTCAGAAAACTCAAAACAATTATCAGCATAAAAAAGCTATTTCAATAAAAAAAAATTCATAAATTTTTGAAAATGGTCAATATAAACAAGATTTTGGGCGCAAACATTTGCATTAAAACAAACAAACAATCACATTAAATCAGATTTTTGGCCAATATCCAAGTTTTAAAAAATGAATAGAAAAATAAAAAATCAAATCTTGGCCTACAACTATAAAATAAAATCAAAGAAACTGTCAATTTAAACAAGACTTTGGGCACAAAAAAAAACTAGTATGAACGCAAAAAAAAACACAAAATCAGATTTGAGCAAAAACATTAAAAAAAACTTAAAAAAGCACTATCAATTAAATTTTGGCGCCAAACTTGGTATTGACAAAATTGACAAACTTGGCAATTGAAGACCGGCGCGACTCAAAACACCGTCGGAACCGGCGCGACCTAAGGTAATGGCGCGACCGGCACGACTGAGAATAAACCGCCGCGACATGTGCGATTGAGCAAAATTTCAAAAGTTTATTCTTAAGTCGCGCCGTCGGTCTTATTTTAAGTCGTGCCGCTTAATTACTTTCTTCAGTCGCGGCGTCAGTCTTTTCTTAAGTCGCGCTGTCGGTCTTATCTTAACTTGCACCGCTTATGCCTTTTTTTAAGAATTACTGACGGCGCGACTTAAGAAAAGACTTATGCGGCGCGCCTTAAGAAAAGACAAAAGTCATATTTGTATCTTTTGTATCAACATTTGTATCGATGTATATATTCCCGAGTCGAGATCTGCGACTTAAGAAAAAACCGGCGCGACTTTATATTGGGAATTTCAGACCCGCGCGACCGAAACTTGGCAATTGAAGACCGGCGCGACTGAAAAAACCACCTCGACCGGCGTGACTCAAAAAACCGTCGGAACCGGAGCGACCTAAGGTAATGGCGCGACCGACGCGACTGAAAATTTTCAACTCCAGACCGGCGCGACTGAGAATAAACCGCCGCGACATGTGCGACTGATCAAAATTTCAAAAGTTTATTCTTAAGTCGCGCCGTCGGTCTTATCTTAAGTCGCGCCGCTTAAGTACTTTCTTCAGCCGTGGCGTCCGTCTTCTCTTAAGTCGCGCTGTCAGCGGTCTTATCTTAACTTGCGCCGCTTATGCTTTTCTTTAGAATTAATCAGCCAGACTTAAGAAAATACTGACGGCGCGACTTAAGAAAAACCTTAAGTGGCGCGATTTAAGAAAAGATTGACGGTGCGACTTAAGAAAAGACTTAAGCGGCGCGACTTAAGAAAAGTTTTAAGCGGCGAGGCTTACAAAAAAAACGGACGGCGCGACTTAATAAAAAAAATGACGGCGCGATTTAAGCCCGCGGCACGACCGAAATCCAGTCTGATATCTGTATGCGGCCCGACTTACAAAGTCTTTTCTTAAGTGGCGGACCTCGACCCGGGTTATTTTTTAAAAACTATTTTTGTGCTATTCTACTCTTGAGTAACCTCACTCCGTCTGTTAGATCCAGTCTGACTACATCTACCCTTGACAATCTAACTTAGAGTAGAAAAAACAGAAGTGTTCAACTCAATAAGTAAGAAAACCGAAACTTTTACATACAACTAAAATAATGAGTTCTTTCAATGGTTGATACTTGTCGAAAGGATGTGATCAATCCCACGCGTTGAAATTTGAACAGAAAAATGAAAAACTTCATGTTCAGAAAATGATTCTTATTCGACAAACCAACTCAAAACTGGTTTTTATTCAATTAGCGTTGTAGCTTTTCCTCGAGCTTAAAACAATTTTACAGCTAATCAATCGCATTACGACATATGTGGCTGGAGAGTTTGATCTGGACTAAATTATGCGCGCTCTGAAGAGTTTTTTCATAATGCTGAAAACGTAAACGTAACGCGAATCATTTATGCGTGGCAAATTATCCCGCACAAAAAAGTTGCTGCAAATTGAATTGAGACCAGCTAATTGATCGTATTTGCTTTGGGCGACTAATATTTTTACAGTTGAGCTTGGCTATTGTCCAAAAACTAAAGTTTTCTAAAAAAATTTTTCACCAAAAATTAATTGAGACCAATTAAACGCCTTGCCTTGATATACGAGGGGTCTTATTTTAATTTCACTCAACAAAAAGTTGATAAAAATGAATTGCATTATAACGTTACATGGCTCAGGCATGAGTTGAACTATAGCTTGCGCTCAAAATCTTGCTTCAAAATAAGCGGTTTAAACGGTTTTTGAGCAATTTTCTACAAATTTTTGAGCTTTTTTCAAATTGTTCAAAAACTGCGAATAATTTGTAAGGGTTTTGAGCGGTTTTACTAAATAAAGTGCCAGAAAAAAAGCTCAAATTTTTTGAAAAGTAGCTCAAAAATTGTATAAGATTTTATCTAAAATATCGTTTAAAATATCTATTTTGAAGCAAGTTTTTGAGCGCAACCGTCTAAGAAACCCGCTCAAATTTTTCAATTGTTGCTTCAATTTATGCAAGGCAAAAAACCTTAATGTAAACAAGCCAATTACATAAACTCTTGGCTAATCAAATGAAATTGAATTTCTTGCGTACGCATGCGTTCCAAATAGAAAAATTAGTCCCATAGAATCCAAAAAATCAGTCGCTCAGTTCTCCTCAATTGGTCAAAAACTTTATGCATAATATTCAATTTCATTGTTCTGTTGTTCTGTCAAAAATCGAAAAGTTTGATGTTATTGTTCAGACTTTTGTAACAAAAGTAACAGATTATTTGGGATCGGGGTGGGTTTTTTTCCTTCAGACAATTTGCGGCTTTCAAACTAGCCATTTTTGACAAAATTTTTGTACATCATTTGAAAGGTATTATTGTCCTGAGCTTAAATTTGAAAAGATAATTCACCTGTGACCATTTTTTGTAACCTTATGGGGGTTTAAAGCCTGCCACTTTGGCCAATTTGGGAAAATTAACGCGCTATATATTTGCTGCTATTAACGCCTGAGCGGAGAATTAATCCGTGTTAGAAATCGTTCCAAATTGGTTGAAGGAAGCTTATTTGCGATAATTGATATGTTATTATGAGCGAAAACTATCACTTTGTAATTTATATGGCTTGTGGGGGGATGGTTTTCACAAAAAATCTCAAAACTTATTTTTTTTCCTTTTTTATTAAACTTATTTTTTATTTCTTGTTATTACTGCTCCATAGACCTTAAAAGGCAGTCGGAACAATCAGGGCTTCGCCCTGATACAAGCAGTCTTAATATTTGGTTAAAAATGAATTATAACGCTACTACTTTTTAGAGCACAAAAATCTATTCTTAGTTTATCACAATTGACTATTTTCGACTTAATTACAAACTAGTTTTGAAAAACATTTAAAATCATTATGTTTTTCATAGCAAATGAATTTTCAAAAAATTTGTCTATAAGTTTTGTTTCAAAAACGATGTTTATCTAAGAATTGATAGAGGTAAATTCGAAAATTTCGATTTACAGATAGAGAAAGAGAGTGAAAAAGAGAGAGAGAGGGAGGAGAGAATGAGCTCCGCTTTTTTGTGGTTTGTTATACAGAGTAGAGGAATCAACCCAAATCTCGGAACTTTTTACTCAAAATTGTGCTTCATCGGGGCCAATGTTTTCGTGATACTAAAGTAGTCGAAAACTAGCCGTTAGTGAAAATTTGAGTCCTTTGTCCTCTTCGATAGAAAAACTTGAGCAAAAATTTTAGGCGACTACGTCACCTACGACAATGGGGGGTTGTCTTACAAGTCAGAGCAATGGGACCTGGAAGTCTCCAATCGGATCAAAAGTGGGGATGCTCTCTGCATAGAAGAAGGGGAGTCAAAACCAGAGTTGTACAGGTGTCGATCAACCACAGGCCGATCCAAATATATTTGCATATCCGAATTCTGACAGCAAAAATAACACTAACACTCAAAAATTCTCTATTTTCCCGTCGAAATCAACTAATTCCTCATCAAGATCATTTTAATTAGCTTCGATTCTAGCTTCTTCATAATGAAAAACTTAGAGCAAAAGTTAGCTCTTATGCACTGAACAAGTAAACAGTTGACAATTTTTTCTGCATAAAATATTTATTTTGAAAATATCAAGCAATTTGGTTCAGTTTTCTTGAAACACTTATTGTTCTGCCTTTTGATACAAAAGTAACGGAATATTTGTGCTCGGGGTGGGTTTTTTTTCTTCAGACAAATTTCGACTTTTTAACTCGCCATTTTTGACGGAATTTTTTTGATATCATTCAAAACGTATTGCTGCCCTGAGCTCAAATTTGAAAAAAAAAGATTTCACCTGTGATCTTTTTTCGTAAAGTTATGATGGTTTACAGATTGCCATTTTAGCCAATTTGGGACAATTAACGCGCGATATATTTCGCGCTATTAACGCGTAAGCGGAGAGTTAATCTAATCCGTCTTAAAATGCTTCCAAATTGGTTGAAAGAAGCTTAATTGCCATATATGATTTATTACAAGGAGCGAAATCTATCCTTTTTTTTACTTTATATGGCGATTGGGGGGATGATTTTCATTAAAAATTTCAAATTTTCATTTTATTTTAATACATTTAATTTTTTAATGTTACTACTGCTCCATAAAATTTTAAAAGGCAGTCGGAACATTCATGGCTTCGACCTTCTACTTCAGTGAGCCAAAAATTAACATATGATCCTAATTTCTATTATGAAGATTGTTTTAAACTATTCAAAGCAGAGAAGTCAATGTTGAGTTTTTGCAAATTGAAATAGTTTGATTAAGTTCTTGTTTTTGGGTCTTTAAGTGAATAAGGTCCCATAGTTTTTGGAACAAATACTAAAGTGCTGTTTTGGCATGTTTTTTTCGGCACTTCCCTTCACAATGAGTTTCATTTTCAAGAGGCTCTTATCAACGTGGTAGTTCGCCCCAATTTTTCTCCGATTATTGTTTCGACTTTTGAAGAAAGTATGGATTATATATGCTCGGGGTGTTTTTTCAATTCAGACCAAATTTTAAAATTATTTGTCATCGAGGAATCGATCCACTGATCCTCGCCTTCCCAAGAGGGGCGAGCTCACCACGAGACTTTCGTGAACCGTGAATAAAGGAGCGCTGTGATTCTTTGATGCTGAAAGTTTTATTGCGCATTATTGTGCATGGCGAATTATCTCGCACTACAAAAATGTTCCAAATTCAATCGAGGCCGCAAGTTCATTAGTCGGCTCTACCTTTATTAAACATTTATGTTTTAGTCGATTAAGTTGAAACATTTTCAGTAAAATCAAAACTTGAGCAATGCTTTCAAAAAGGAAAACTACTAGGTTAGAAATGTTTTCTCTTTACTTTTTCTCGCTAATTTCTTGTGCATTTGTGTTGTTCCCTGATACTGCAGCTCGTTATTTTTTTCACCATTTTAGGCCCCTCTGAGTCATATATCAAATTTTTTTCTAAAGACTCTAAAAAGACGAAAATTAGATTTCATGGAGTTTTTTTTGGCAAAAAAGAAGTTTTTTTGAGGTTATACGGAAATACAAATAGCTTTAAGTGGAATGACAATGCGAAATAATCGCAATTAAAACGATCCATTTTCTCGCAAATAATAATATAAAATGTTGCCTAAATTGGTGACACATCATTGATTATAGCGGCACATTTTTGGCTAGATTTTCTCAATACAAACTATTTTTATCCGGAACGTTTCACTTTGGGATTGTCAAAACGTGTATTCAATTTCTTGCCATGTAAATGATATAACGTGATGACGAGCTCTACATTGGCCGCGACCGTGATCAGTTGAAAATTCTAGACGCAAAAAAATGGAGAAGCACAATAGATATTCGCTCAACAAAATCACGAAAATGGCGAAGTGGTAAACTAAATGAAACAGACTATCCTCAAGCAACCGAATTTATAGATCTTCCGCAGAATCTACAATTATGTTTTTTTCAGATCTTCTGCAGAATCTACAATTATGTTTTTTTGCATTCAAATCCTCATACATTTTCCCAAAAAATCCATATACTTATAAAAATATGCAAGAATGATATTGTTTTTTTCGAAGCTTATTTATAACTTTTAACTTTTAATTTTTAAATGAGAAGGTAATTTCAAATAGTTTTTTCTGTTATAACTTTCCCAATAAATCAAAGTCTCACCCTATTTTTAAAAAAATCGGATGAAAGTATTCAAAGTTAACAGTAAAAAAGCATGTGCAAGTTTGTTTATTCAAATATAATTGATCCTCTACGCAGAACTTGGCTCACTACGAACAAAAGATGAACCCATTTTTGTAAAGTTTCATTTATGATGAAAGCACATTAATTGTAACAAAAAACAATTAGAAATTGACAAATTGTCAAAACAATTAGAAACTGGGGAAGAGGGTGCTTAAACTTTTTCGCTGCTACGCGATGGGGGCTACAATGGAAAAGACACATATTTAGTCAACCAGCCCGTGAACTAACCTAAACATTAACTAAGTGTGAGCCCTTTACAAGCTCGCTTTCATGTTGCTGCGAATTAGCGATTTGGGCCTGCATTTTTTCTACAACTGGGCACCATCGCTATGGACTGCTTCACTACCGAGTCTAATTTAGTAAGACTGAGATTAAGACCAGTCTGCTGTGAATTGACCGGAACAAAATTATTCAAAAAAATTTCAAAAACAGTTAAGCATTTGACTTCCAATTATGCAAATTCAACCACAATTGTTTTCTTCTAGAAAATCAGATTTTTACCGGAAATTGAAAAATAGTAGCAATAACTGGAAACAAATAGTTTTCTTTTACATTAGCAATTACAAGTTTTTCGTCTTCCTGTTTTAATAAACTTTATCACAAAGAGAACCACTCATTTACAGAATGATTATAATTCGAATGATTTTCGAAGCTCAAATTAGAATTATTCGATTCACTATCGGTTGCATGAGGAATTTTTGACAAGAAGCTGCGGTGTACTTATAGGGCATTTAATTCTTTGAAGATTGATTGTTATCCTTCGAGGAATCATTCAAACGAATCATTCCAACGCTTTCGTTCTTTTTTTTCGAAATTGTATTTTTTTTGGCATGCGCTTCACCTTCAACACTAATATGCATTTTGATTTTGAAACACAAAGAGCTAGCCTGGCTAAAATGCGCGTCATAAAGTGATACCATTGTGTGGTTTTTTAAAAAATTGCAATCAAAATTAAGATGGTTAGCTTTCCTTACTATGTACACTCCTGCTTTTTTAGCAAACATCGCATAAACTGTAACTGATAAAACAAACTTAAAAACATTTTGGAGAAAATGCCTGATGCTTAAGGTTCTAGTAAAAGTTGGTCAAAAATTTGCGTTTTTCATTGCGTTGGGTTCAGATTTATCAGGGGAGTCACACAAATTTGAAACTATTCTAATCTAGTGGTGAATTCGACCCAAAATTTTTCTTGATCCTTAAAATTGGCATAAAATTGTGGTTTTTCTATATCAAACGACAATATTTTAGCGTTGAAAAATAGTTTCTTTCTTCGAAGTGGTCAAAAATAATATATTTATCGAATATTTGGGCCGGTGTTTGAGCTGGCTGAAACAAGTTTTAGCAGGAAAAAAAAACAAACAATTTTGTATGATGAAGAAAAAAATAACGCAACCAAAATTCTGTGAGACTTTTAGTTTCTCTGAAAAAAAAACATTTTTAGGAAAACAGCATGTTTCGTCTCCGACCTTTGGCGCCAAATTATACAATTTATGAAAGGCAATTTTTTGGTTAGAAATTCCGAAAAGTTCCCAGACACGGCCTTTTTGTGTTTTTTTAAAAATGTGCCTGACGCGCTAACGTTCGGTCACAATAGGGTCTTTATAGTTTTCTGGGAGCGCTCGAAAAATCAACTAATGGACCTAAAAAAAGGTTGAAAAAATTTTTGAAAAACTTTTGAAAACCCGCGTCCTCTCAATCTTAAATCCGCCCCTGGCTATGACGATAGCCACTACAAATCATATTAAATAAGGTTTATTTTCTCTTTGTTTAACTTATCTAATTGCGTTACTTTTTTCCACCTTTCCAAAGTTTATACCGAAGGAAAGTATTGCCAATGTTCTTCTGTCGTTAGCAGTGGAGAAAAAGGCTCAATTTTTCTCTCATGTAAAGCACTCTCTCATGCTAAAATCGTAAGTCAAGTATACTCATAATCAACTTGAAAATTTAAAAAACACTGACTTTGTTCACAAATCAAGCTATTGAACTGGTTTGAGCGTTATCAAATTTCAGCTAAGAACAACTAAATCAACTCTTTTAGAACTGACACGCCACTTTATATATGTTTTGCGAACTTCACCACTGAGGACAGAATAAAAGTAACAACTTTCATGGTTGAGGTTTTTAGCTTAATTGAAGCAGTCTCTATTGATGCATCGCCCATGGATTTTAACCGATTTCAATGGGTTTCCGATCCAAAAACAAATCTATTATAATCCGTTCGATGTAAATATCAGACCACGAAATTGTTTATATTGCCATTATAATCAATTATTTTTGAGAAAAAAAAATCCGTTATAATATAAAACAATCTACCTATAAACTAATGCTTTTTGAACTGAAATCGATTAATTTTGTCAAAATAATCCATTATAATTGATTGTTTTTGAAAAAAAAAACTTCCGTTTTATTCAATTTTTTAGAACTAAATTTAATTATTTTTGTAGAAACTTTGCAAACTTTGTAACAAATTCTGTTATGTTCAGGGGCGGATTTAGGGGGGGGGGGGGGCGGGGGGGCGGACGCCCCCCCCCCTCAGGGATTCGACCCCCTGCCGACCCAAAGGCTCCCCCCTTTGATACTTTTTCAGAAATCCATTTTTGGCGGACCGACCCTGAAATTTTTCTAAAGGCGCCTTTGGCGCCAATATATACTAACTTTGAGGGGGAGCGCGCGCCAAAAAAACGCAATTTTTTTGTCAAAATTTTTCAAAAAGTGCCCAAAAATGGCTTTTTTGACTGTTTTGACCTCCCCCCCCCCCCCCCCCCCCCAGA